TGCAAGTTGATGTATTTTCCCCTTTCTCTGCAGCACTCTTCTTTTTAGAAACATTTGCAGGTATTTTGATGTTCCAATGTTAGACCCTGTGGGCTACACAGATACTGTGCACAGCCTCAGCCTTAACCTACGTGATACGAGCACAATCTGCTCAGGCCTTTGCTCTGGAAGTGTTTGTGTAGGATGTCTTGACCCTCGCAACAGGTCCTGCAGTAGAGGTGGAATCGGGAATGCTTTCTACTACCATGGAAAGGGACTTTGTCTTGGTGGGGGAGAAGCGGATAGGATTTGGGGTGTCCTCCTATGGTCTCCAGTGGTTGTCAGTTACCCGGCAGTTGATCTAAACTGAGGGGATAGGTCAGGCTCTGTACTCACAGATTTTATTTCTTAGCTGGGAGAGGCCTAGACTGTATGTGCGGCCAGTTCTCACGCTTCTGCTGCAATGTAGCTCCCCAAGCTCTTGTAGCTCTCCTAGTCAAGAAGTCTTTTTTGTGTATACTGCTGCTGTTGTGTATCATTCAGAATTTATGATGAGCCTTTATTTTTAATCTAAGTAGGTTACATACAAAATTTTGCTACACTTGTGAGTTTAAAAAATGCAAGCACTTGGACAACTACTTTAACTTTTTTCAGAATTTAGGATGTAGACGTGAGTAAAACTCTCCTCCTACAGCACAGCTTGGAACTTCTGCTGAAGCAAGTACCACTTAATGTAATCTCAAAAAACATGGTATAGGGAGGAGTAAAACAACCAAAGAGTATATGAGCTGATACTGATCTAAGAAATAGAGGGCTCAACAGAAATGCTTCAAAAGACTTGAGCTGGGGTTTTTTTGTTTGGTAGGGGTTTTTTTGTTCAGAAAACTAGTATCAGAACTTGTTTTGGATTTGTTCAACTGGCCTGTTTTGGTTCTTTTAAGATAAATTTAGGATTTTGTAATCAGTGACCTTGGCGCAGGAGTTTCAGAGCTCTCTGCTTGAACGAAGAACAGAAGCACAGTGTGACCTACATTTCCATGCAGTTGGATGGGATTTGGGGTCTCGCGAGATACCAGCAGAATGCTAAGTGTGAGCCAAACAAACTAGCTGGCTACTATCTGGAGGATTTGCTTTCAGCTGAGGGTGTGTTTGAGGTTAGTCTCATAAAGTACTGGTGTCCATCAAGGTTGATGCAAATACCTCTTCAAGTGTGACCAAACCCCACCACCTCACTGTGCAGGCTTCAGGAAGCTCCTGTTTGAAGTAGGATGTATTTTTATTAGCACTACTGTACCATGAACTAAACCTTAGGATTCTTTATTTATTACTGAGCAATGTGTTTGACACAATAGAGACAGCTAATACTGTAAAAAGAGGCACTTCTGATCCAAATTAAACAGGTTATTTGGATTGAACTTCTTAAAAGGTTGGATAGGAGATAAACAAGTAAGGAGGAGAGGAGGGAAGGGATGGAAAGGAGTTGATCATAATAGGTCTAATCAAACAGTTCCTTGAGGAATTGTTTTGGGGAGAGAAAACAAAAGCAAGAATTCCCTTAAAAACATGTCTCTGAGTAAAAGCTAGAGAATCATGAAGTCCTCAATCTTTTTTCAAATCCTTTTTATCCTAATAATAATAATAGTTATTGTTATTATTTTTGTTATTATTATTTACATGCATAATAAAATGGAAGTGAGGACAACTGTATGATTTGAGGAGGATTTTTTGGTGGGGAAAAGTTTTTTGTTGTATTAAATGTGAGAACATAGTGTTTTATCTCATTTTGTTCACTTTACTGGAGGATAACTTATTTTTTGAGGCAGACAAAGAGATATGAAGGGGAACTGAAAAGCTTAGGAAGCTGAGGCACTTCCTGTATGGAAGGAGGGGGATGGTAGGTTTTCCACAAACATGTTCAGAGGTCTAATTAAGAGTTACCTTTTAGAGATATGAACATCTTTTTAGTTCTGCTTTGTTATTTGTATAAGCAGCTTAGATGTGGGTTTTGTCATGGTAAGTTACAGTCTGTGAGAGCAAGGAGAGAAGACAACAGTAAAATCAGCATTGGAAAGCTGGTTGAAAAAATTGCCTTGAGGAGGGATTTTAGAAGCTGCAGAAAGAAAAGGATTTTGAAAGGCAAGAGAGAGACTTGAAGCTGAGTAGAAGGTGTTACCCAGCTTCTGTGCTGGGCATCAGGCACCAGCACATGTGTCAGGCTTTGAGATTAAAAATCACAGGGCTTTGCTGCAGCGCTTTCCTAAGGTTTGCCTGTGAGATGGGATAGAACGGTAGAAGACTGCCCGTGTCAGAAGAGGGCCACCTTTTGGCATCTAGCACCCATAAGCACTGTTTTGATATTATAATTAGTTCAAGTCTTCTCAAGAATTTCCAACGTAAATTTAATCTGGTAGAGAGAGGAGAACTGGGTTTTAGGAGATAAAGTGAAATTCTGGGAGGGAACATATACTGATGCCACAACCCTCACGTCTTCTCAGTGTTCAGTCTTGCCAGGTTCCTTTTGACCATACCCTTTTCTAGCAAGGTCTTTGGTACACAGGTTCAACTCCAGGCGTGCCACAGGAACTGATTGCCAAGCTAGTCTGTTAGGTCACTTTGTTCTCGTAGCCTTTCTAATATATTCAGTGCCTTGACAAATTTTCTTGGCAAGAGCTTTATAAAATGATACCGTGTTCTGCATAACTTACATGCCATTACACATCAGAACATCTCCTACCATTCAAGTCCTGAAGTCCATCACTAAGCTTAGAAACTAGAGCAGCTCTAATACTTAAGTAATTTTTGGAAGTGGTAAGGAAGAGTAGTGATTTTTGTAAGGAGTAGCTTTTCTCTCTATTTGTCTTCTGCTTTTGTTTTAAATGGGGTTGAAAACAGCTAGCAGCATCAGTGAGGAGACTGATCAGCTAAACTGAATATTTATTAGCTCCTGATACAATAAAACTATATTTTCTGTGCTGCTGCAGTGTTTTAATCATACTTGCAGCATTTCAATTTTTGCCCCCCCCCCGAATATATGTTTCCATTTTTCCTAATAGGTCAAGAAAATGTCAAGTTTTCAGACTAGGAGCTTACTGTGTCTCCGTGTTTGATCTTCAGTTGCTCAAAGGTTAGGCACCACAGGAGGTGACTGGTTAGACGGCTCACAGGTGCCTTGCAACTAGATGCTCCTTCATCTCTGCTCTCCATGTGTTTCACAAAACAATTTTACAGTTGGTGTTTATTTACAAGAAATACTTGTAAACAACTGGTTGTATTGTGCATACAGGTGTCAGACTGCAGTATGTGACATTTGGCACTGTAAAGAAACTTTCAGTTTCTGAAAACAGTCAGTTGTAGTGGATGCACATTTTCTTAGAAGATTACTTTTTTTTTTTCCTAATCAGAGGCAGGAATATTCATTTGCATGTCACAGTATCATGTTGCTCTTTGAAAATCAAAAGAATATATTACCTTTAAGCAAGGCTGACATAGAATTGACATTTCAGCAAGAGCAGGCAAGCTGGGGCAGAGTTCCCTGCAAGCCTTCCTTCAGTTTTTATTTTCATTTCAGCGACCTTTAGCAAGTGCTTTCCTGTTACGTAAAATTTTATTGTAATGAAAATACTAGAGATCAAGAAGTCAAGTATGCCATGAACTTGCCATCAGGATTATGATGTGCCTTCAAGCTGTTTGACTTTCTGGGGAGGCAGCACTTATGTTTTTAAAGACATGGTGTGCCTGATGTGAAACTCTGTGTTTGTCCAGTAGTGGAAATGCTGTCTTTGACGAGCAGTCAGCTTGTTAGGTGACTCTCACCTGGTAGTAAAGAGAAGTGGTTAGAGAGTGTTTGTGGAAGAAGATGTGCTTGCATCAAAATGTCTTTGCTTGATTGGAACAAGGCATGGCCCCACCTTACACGGGTTTTCCCTGTGTAAGCCCAGGACTGTCAAAGCACATCTTACTGAATGCGGTGTCAACTGATGAAAAATGAGTCAGTTTGTGGTGAGGTTTTCATGTAGAAAGTGGAAAATGTGTTTGAACTTGGCTGTTCTGAGGTGGATGATAGTAATCACAGTATCTTGGATAATGCAACCTTCTGATTAGGGTTTTTTAATGGTGGTGGTGGAATAGTTGTTATTTCAGCTTCATCACTGATGGAAGAAAGACGAGCAGTTGTGGTGCAAGTCTCAGGATACCTTTGGCTGTCTGAAGCTTATACTGAGCTCTTACTGCTGGTTTCTGCATGCTTGCAGCTCTTGGTGCAAATCTTTTGCTTTCTACGCTGCAGGTGGGACAGAGGTGTGAGGGTTTGAGGTTTTAGGGGAAGGGTATGTTGTTCTGCATTGCTAGAGGGGTGTATTTAGTATGCATCTCTGTGTTGCTGTGGCACAAGCAAGCCTGATTTGTGTATTGGAATATAAAGCAAAGCCTTTCCTTTGTATTTCTGTCACAGCAGTGCCATTATATGCCCTTTAAACAGACTAATAGAAGTTGCATATTTTTCTGTGCCTTTAGCAATATCAGCTTTTTAGATTTATAGCAGGTATTTTGTTTGTGCAAGACTTGGAACTTGACAGAAAGCACACCCTTAGCCTACAGATTCATTAGTCACCATAGCAGAGAGGCTGGCAGGTAGAAAAGCAACTGAGGATCTCATGTTTCAGCTCTGAGGCATAAATGTTATCAGTTTTGACCATCAAGTAGTCCCTTTAAAGAAAAATATGGTATGCCTAAGGGTAAAATATGCTCATGATAGCATTGGCTCTTATTCACACAATTCTGTGAAAAGCACTTGTTATGCCACGTGTAGGTGTATAGAAACAAACGAGTATATGTGTGTGTATGTATGTATATGTACCTGTGTAAGACAAGTCAGATATTTTAATTGATTTGGTATTTGCAGTACTTCTGGGCTATGGTTCTGTACATCTTGACTCACATATGAGAGACAGCTGGAGGCTTCTGTGCTTTGCTAACTTGGACGTGTCCCTTGTTTTCTTGTTTTGGTTTGGTTTTGTTCTTAGGGTAATAAATGCAGGGAAGAGCACGCACAATGAAGATCAAGCCAGCTGTGAAGTCCTCTTTGTCAAGAAGAAAGCTGGAGGCGCTAATTCTACACCAAACAAGAACTCCTCAACAAAACGGAGGTCGTCATTGCCCAATGGAGAAGGTCTCCAGCTGAAAGACAATTCGGTAAGCAGACATCTGTATCTTGTCAGTGGAGAAGTACAAAATAAGTATAAAAGGATGTGGCAATACGACACTAAAAGATGTTTACTGAATGTTTCATAGTTTCAGTCACCTCTTGTTAATCACCTTTGCTTAAATACAGAACACTTAGCTATACTTTTCTTAGCTCTACTTCTTGATTTTTGATTTCTTGCATTGAAAAATGTTCCTTGCATCTAAGACATTTTAGTTTAAAGATGGGGAGGGGAATACTCCTTGGATTTTCCTTTTTCTTTTGTTTCCAAAAATACAATCCTGAGGAATTTACTGCTGCAGAATACTGTGAGTTTAATGGCTGTGGTTGATTTGTCCAGTGATGGTCACTGCAAGCATAGCAGTATTACCATTTATACAGTCATACAATTTTATAAAGGGTTAGACAGTCATTTGGGTTCTTTTCACTGAAGCAGTATTGTGTGTAGCAAGGTTGGTTTGTGCAGGTAGAGTACGGTCATCCAGCACAAGGAATTCAAAGATTTTTGTGGACTGTGGCTCCTCTCTGTGTGTGGAGAGTGATATGCATCATGAACTTGTCTACTGGCAATCATCTGCTATTCTTCATCTGTCTTGTTTTCTGACTGGCTAATTACTTTATCTGCTCCTTAAGCATGAGCTCAAGCTCAGGCTCCAGCAATGATCAATAGTGTGTGCTTGAGTCAAATGTTTAGCCATGTAACACTAAATGCCTTATCTGAATGTTGGGAGTCGGACAATGTGGATATGCAGTCTTTCTGCTGCTAGGAAAACACAAGTTCTCCCTAAGTATTAATTGGTCTTTCAGTGGACTGTAAGTACCCTTTTTTGGTTTTTTGTTTTTTTGGTTTTTTGTTCTTGTTTTAAACCAGGTTGTGATTAGCAGTCTGCTTCAGTCTCTCTCCCAAAACCCCATGGCTTGGTACACCTGATGGCTGCAGGGGTCATTGGGGTCCTGAGCAACAAGCATTCCTCTTGCACTGTGTCGCTCCTCATCTCTTGCTCCTGCTGTTCTGTTTCATATTTCATTATTGCTGCAAAATTTTCAGGCTCTGACAGATTTTCCATGTTTGCAAATAGCCCTGTTCTTTCCTCTTTCAAATCTTTCCTTAAATCACCTGTCCCAGTTCCTGTGTGTTGATATTCCTCTTTCAGACGGTCATGATTTTTTTTCAAGTACATATTTGAACACTCCTGGATAATGAATTGTGCCTTGTGCTTGCTGGGACTAATGAGTTCTGTGTATGCTCGTGCAAGGCAAAACAGAATTTGTTTTAATAGTCAGCGTTTAAAAAAGTCTTTCCTAGAAAGCCCATGCAACTGTCTGCTATTGGCTCATGCAAACACCTGGTTCCCTGAGTGTATTTAATTTTTGTATATGTTAATTACGTTTAATGACGCAAGCATTTGGCCACAGTACTTGTATATATAAAACACATCAAGATAAGCAACAACGTGCTTCTTCCAGGTGATGGGTTTGTCTGACACAGAGGGCATCGCTGTGTTATGCACGCAGCACACTGCAAAGACCCCCGTGCAGACACCAACATGCGTAGACACATCTTGGTGCTGTGCCGTATCAGATGCTTCTTGAGAGCAAAAGGCACGCTATATTGTATATACTGTACTGCATTATTAATCATCTTCCTCAGAAGGAACTTTTTTCCAAACATTACCTAGTAATGGTAATTACTAGGTCATTATAGACCCTGGGTAGGGTCTATAAACTGACTGCATATTTTTGAAAGCTGCTCTTTTTTTTTCCATTTTAAATGTAATATTTGTCAGCCTTGTTAAATATCCAGTTGCCCTGTGTTAAGGGGAAGTATCTCACAGAATTTTCTGATTTCTCCTTCTCTCCTCATTAGTGTACTTCCTATATTGATTCTGTATCTTTTATCTCAATTTTGGAAGAAACAGACACTCCCTTTCAAGCTTCTTGAGTGAAACATTTTTAGTTCAAATCTTCTGTTCTTTCTTCTATTTCTGACACATTTTGACCAGAAATGAGCATAATGTCTGAAGTGAGGAGCCAGCTGATCTATATAATATAGTATACTGTTTCCATGCCACTTCTTATTGCATTCTTTAAATGTTCGGTTCTTATCTACAAATATACTGCTGTTTCTACACGACACCTGAATGCGTGCTATAGCACTCATTATTTAGCTGTGTAAAACCTATTCTACCATGTTATTTGACTACAGCTTGCAAATTTAAATTTGTAATATATTTTCCCAAAACAGGCAGCATATTTCTAGAGAAAGTTTTCTACTAGAGGGCAGTCTTACACTAGCAATTAGTAGGGTTTTTTCCTTGGTACCTTTTTTTGCTGGTTGAATATATTTTAAAAGAAAAAAAAATGTACACTTTTCTGTAATGTATCATACGTTTCCATTTTCATATTTTTATGCTGTAAAGTATAATATTGTGTTTTGCCTTCACATAGCGTTGTTAGCAAATATTTTTTAAGGAGTGTATGAGTTGGTGTTAAATGTGATAAGGGTGCAACTTACTCTGTATCAATAGGATGTAGAAATACAGACTTGTATACAATACATTCACACTCCAGTGAATGGTATAATATCATCCCGGCAAGTATTTAGTAAGAAAGGCATAGGCTGAATTCTGTAAATGCCTCCTAGGGAAATCCCACTGTAACACATAACCTGAAATAAAGTCTGAGTGGTGAAGCACCTTGTAGAAATACTGAAGGAAGAAGGGATGAGGGAAGCAGTTTATTGAATATTTGTCTGATGAAAAGAAAGATTTATTCTTGTTCTTGTTTAGTTTTTTAAAATGTGGAGCACAAGGGAAATAGGAACTGGAACTTAAAGTGTCTCTTAATTTAACAGAGACCATTTCATTGTCCTCAGACTGTTCTTTTTTTTTCCCCCAGACTGTTTGAGAAGGCCACATACCATCTTTGTTTTACCCTGCTTTCTGGGAAGTTTGTGAAACTTAAATGTCAGCTTCATCTGAGGTTGTGTGATTATTGTTATTTAATGCTGAGCCCATCAATGCAGCCCCACGCTTTGGCAAGGCAGCGTAAGGGAGTCAGAGTTCCACAGGGTGTCTGTGTGGGTTGGGTGCTGCTGTCATGGCTTTGACTCTGTGGGTGGACTCTGGAGAGCTTTTGAAGGTGGGAAGGAGGAAGTGATGGGCCAGAAGTGAGGGTAAGGAGAAGTGAATGTTTCTTCAGCCCTGCCACACATAGTAATCCAAGGAAACCTGTTAAATAGCATAAATAGGTTTTTCTTCTTGAAAGAGTGGGTGATACACTGAGCAGGGCAGCAAAAGAAAAAGCTCTGCAAATTCAACCCTAAATTAATTGTCTCCCCTTTCCCCCACCCCACTCCACTGCTGCATGTTTAATCATAGAACCATAGAATCTTTGAATTGGAAGGGGCCTTTAAAGGTCATCTAATCCAACCCCCCTGCAATGAGCAGGGACATCTTCAACTAGATCAGGCTCCTCAGAGTCCCGTCCAACCTGACCTGGAATGATTCCAGGGATGGGACATCTACCACCTCTGTGGGCAACCTCTGCCAGTGTTTCACCTCCCTCACTGTGAAAAATTTCCTCCTTATATCTAATTTAAATATACCCTCTTTTAGTTTAAAACAGTTACCCCTTGTCCTACAGCAACAGGCCCTGCTAAGAAAACTGTCCCCACCTTTCTTATAAGCCCCCTTGAAGTACTGGCAGGCTGCAATAAGGTCTCTCAGGAGCCTGCTCTTCTCCAGGCTGAACAACCCCAGCTCTCTCAGCCTGTCCTCACACGGGAGGTGTTCCATCCCTCTGATGATCTTTGTGGCCTCCTCTGGACCCGCTCCAACAGGTCTGTGTCTTTCCTGTGCTGAGGACTCCAGAGCTGGATGAATCATGTTTGCCCTCTGTCCCTATTCAGGAGCATTCACTTTAAATCGCACAGCTTTTTCACTGGTGCTATTTTTAAATGCCTTTAATTACGGGGTGCCTTGCTGATGAATACTGAAGACCATCAGTGAGTGAAATGGGAATCCTATGCCAGGATATTGTCATAGTGACAGTCAGGTTGCACAACTTAATGTGATGCATTATTAGTTGCCATTGCAATGTGAAGATACAGAACTATTAATTCTGCAGTTTTCTTTGTCACAAAGATGGGGCCGAGTGTTTGTTTTGTGTGACACAAGGTTGGTTGCCTACCACAGGTAACCGAACTTATCATCGGTAGCGTGAGGAGCCTTTTCTCTGACCATGGAGTGGCAACTGCTCACCCAGTTCAGATTGTGAGAACTAAAGATGTGCTCTAATGCATTTTGTGAGTGTATTTGGAACAACAATAGTCGAGTTGGGTTGTGGTTTTCAGAATAAATTTTCAGTGGCAACATGATTTATTTGCCTGTTTGGAATTTGCTTCATTAAAAAAATTTCTCAAGGTTTGCAATGTAGGACCACTGCCTAGCTCACCTAAAAAATTTGTCCCAAATTTATTGCTATATATTGCTAAGGCTGTCTTTTTTTTTTCCTGTAACTTTGCTATAAATTTCTATAATTTCCCCATTTATGTATATATGTGCATTTTCTTTCATGATTTCTCATCCATTGCTTGACCCAAAACTTTGCATGTCTTAATTATACTTTACAATTACAAAACCCGGGAGACTGCTGAAAAAATTTCCTAAAAGCTAGGTCAGCAGTTGAAGAGCTTGAAGCTTATTAAATCTCCCAGTACATACTGGAAATGAATTGTGAGGTCAGTGCAGAGAAGGATCTGTTTGCTCTTCATGCATCTGGTAGCTATTGAGAATGTTGTTAAATCTCAATCTTTTGAAAGAAAATCTAAAATAAATCACTGTGGTGACAGATCACACTCCCACTTGAGGGGTCTGCCCATTTAAAAGAACAAATGGAGACTGGTGTTTGAAAGACTGCTTTTGACAGAATACCACTAGAGCTAGTAGAAATAGATGTCTTGTTCTCTGAGAGTCTGCAGAATGTCAATACTTTTGGGAAGAAGTTCAAGCTCCCAAACGTGAAAGAGAGAGAACAGCCATGCATATACACACCAAAATGTGTGTAATCGCTTGGTGGTTACGGAGGTCACCTCAGCTGTGGGAGGAAAAGCAAGGATTTTTTTGTGCTTTTTGTCTCATCTGTGTGCCCTGACTGCTGACCCTTGTTCGTTCTCCGAGTTGCTACTTTATTTGCACCATATATTTAATTCTCATCAAATTGGTTTGGTTTTGGAGAATTTATTTCTTTCAAATAGAGGAGCTGTTTTTATTCTGTGGGCAGGGCGAAGGAATTTGTTTCTTCTTCCTTTTTTACACAGCTAATAGGTTATTCGTGGTTATACTGTCTTTGCTAGTTCAAAAGTAAATGAAGCATCATAGACATACATAAAAGTTTTTGGAGACTAATATTTAGGTTACAGTAATGCCTGCAGATCCCAACTGAAGTTAAGGCCCTAGGGCATCTCACACAGAACGTGTTTGTAAGAGCAGCATTGTGGTAGTCATCTCCCCTGACTGTATATGCTTATAATGCAGACCTCTTAGTTATCTAGGGTACTTCTGCAGTTGATAGGGAGAAATACGTTGGAATGACACGAGCATAGTCTGAAAGTACACGGGTGTTTTTCTCTCTGCTCAGTATCAGGGCAATTTAGAGACCTGTCTTGAAGGTGTGCAATATAGGTGTCTGAACTCAGCTGGACTGGTAGCAACACCCTGTTGTTAAAGAATTATTAGTCCAAAAAGGACAAGATCAGTGAACTCCAGAGGAACTGCCATAGCTGATGTGGCCATGCCATGTTCATGTCAGTGACAGCTTGACAATACAGCTCAGGCCCACGTGAGCTTCTCTGTCCTAATTTGTGCTGCCCATTGGCTTAGAGGAAATAAGCAGTAACACTTCAACTTCACTTTTGTCATGGGCCATTGTTCTGGTCTGGTTTAAAGCTTTCTGGTCTCTGATGGCACCTTATTTGACTACCAAGTTCACATCAGGCTTGTTCAGTATAGGACACATGCAGTGTTCTGCTCATAATAATGAGAGTGAATTGTGTTAATAATTGTTCTCCTTTATCTTCTGAAAAGCTCTAATACAGACTTTGGTGGGGGCTTGCTTTGGAAAATTTAAGAAAAGGGGGGGGTGTTTAAACTTGGTTTTAATTGTAAGTTTTTGTTATAGTTTGGGGTCAGGGGGAAGGTGACCACAAAATACCTTCCTCCTATAGGTGTAAGGTAAAATATTTCCATTTCACTCAGAGGTGCAATGCCTTTATGCTTTTTCCCCCAAAGGCAGCACATCTCCAAAGGAGTAGCACCTTCCAAATGACATAAGCTGTGGAAGCATTATCCGTGGTGCATCATGAGGTGGATTTTGGCCAGGGACCTAAGAGAAGAATGGGAGCAGAAGTAGTTTGATCTGCAACTCCCAGGAGGCACAGTGCTGCCATTTTGAATAAATGGTTTCAGTTTTCAGCTGAAATACTTTCACTTTGGGATACTTGTTTCTGTTGGCAAAATAATTTACATTTTGCATGAATAGGAATCTATTTTTACAAATAGGTTTTTTTAGTCAGTAATCCTGTTATCCGTTAAAAATGGTTTAAGCAGAATTTTACAGCCAACTGTTGTGTGAACTTGGAGTGGTTCTGAGGCCAGAGCAAGCTAGCACAACTGACAGTTGTACCTTCAGGGGTGAAGTTTCACAACAGGTTTTTTTCTGACTGCGTGAGTGGGTGGGTCTGGCTAAGGAGATGCATTTGGAAATCTGTACATTTGTTGGTCCACCGTTATAGGATGTACCCTGTATGATCCTTACTGTGGTAAGTAGTCCAGTACTGTAGGACAATACTCCCTTTTCTCAGCATTTCAGTAATAAAATGAAGGGTGCACAATAGACTGATGAGTTCCTTCTCTTGGAGGAACTCTCCACTGTATAGATGACTGTATTGTTAATGCACTGGTTAAGAATATGTTTGAACTTTACTACAGCAGCAATGCTATAATCTTAAAAAAAAAAAAAAAAAAGACTTCTATGTAATTTTTATAATCAAGGCTTTTCAGTGTGCATTTCAACAAAGTTGTAAGTAATAATGCTTGTTCAGCAATGAATTCTGCCCTTTGCACAGCATGAACCTGTAGTGATGTTCTATATACCTGTTGAGAGTATTATAAAAAGAGACATTTTGCATTAGGTGTTGGATTTCGTAGCTCAAGGCAGCAATGAATGATGTCTTCTGGATCTGCAAATGACAATTCATGGTGTTCTTACTCCAACCTGTCTGCCATGTCCTACAGCCAGTGGTTGGCACCTTTGTGGAGCAGCTGGAACAGCAGAAAGTAAAAGGAGCTGCGGCTCACAGCCCCGTCCATAAGTTTGAAATAAGCAGTGCTTTGGGCATGAGGTGCAGGGATGCAGGTGGTGCCTAGACTATATGCTGATCTGTTGTGTAAGGGAGCAGCGTTGGAGTGAGTGAAACAAATCATGTCTGTCATCCTAAATTAGACCACAGTCAGCATGCCATGCAGTTCTGTGGCTGCAGTGAGATCTACGTTATGCTTTCTTAGTACGAGATGTTTTGCACCGGTATTGCCCGATTCCTGTCCCTTGCAAAATGGTTTATTTCTAAACCTGTATTAGTCCACCCATGTCTGACTCACAAGGCAGCCCCACAAACAGTTGTTTCAGCACAGCTGGGAGATGGTGCAGGATTAAAAAGAAATGGAGGGGAAAGGAGAGACTGGAAAGACTCTTTCCACATGTTGCTGCCAAATATGCTGTCATGCAAAGACAGGTATTGTTATGCCTTAAATGCTTCCCTGAGGATTTCTAGGTTAATTTTTTCCCCAAAAAAGTTGAAGTTATCTAGGGAAGTTATCTAGGTTATCTAGGCTCCTTGGTATTTTTCAGGCAGATGGGAGCTTGTGCTGCCCAGAACTTAGTCTGCCTCCAGCCTGGGGATAATGGGCCCTATCTGAGTGATAGGGCACCCCACCACAAGACCATGGTTTCTGCTCAAACCAGAGCAATAGTGGAGCTGACTTACACTTCTCAGAGAAGACTGTGTGGAGCAGAAGGGGATAAATATTTGAAAATTCTGTCATTGATCAATAACTACTGAAGAAATATATAAAATTACCACATATACCTTAATTTTAATAATGAAGTCTACAAAATTTGCTTTTTCCAGATACTCTGCCTGTATGAGAGCAGTTTTGCTGACCAGCATGCTAGGAGTTGAGCTAAGGTGTAAGATCTAAAAGCGTACTATTATGCTGAGAGCTATACCAAAACACTTGCATAGCTCTTCTGATCAGAGGATATGTAACTCCAGTGCTGTACAGGAAGCTTTTCACAGGACTGGGAAGAGCTAGGCAGTGAATGTGTAGGCTAGCACAGGCGGAGTGCAGCTGATCCCACTTGTGTGTGCCATCCGTGAGGACCTCTGTGCTGTGCTGGTTCCTGGGTTGGCACAGGGAGGGAAAGCCTGAGCTGTTGCTATCTGCCAACACGGATGGACCTTATCTACCGGTCATGGAAGTGGGGATTGCGTCTTGTTACTAGACGTCAAACTGAGGTCCTTCATCTCATGCCTGGTGAAAAAAAAATTCTGTTTCTGTCCTGTGTAGAACTTTGATCTCCATGATGGTAGGTCCATCATTTATCAATGATGTGATTTTCAAATGCTTTTCTTCTGATCTACACACTCATTAGGAAATTAACTTAGTCTCACAGTGGTAGCTGTGCTTGCATCCTATGATGGCTGTAAGGTGAGAAAGATGGTGAGTTCAGCCTTTTTGTATAATTTTTTTTTTTTGCAGAGGGTTAAGGAAAAGAAAAAACAAACAAAAAAAATATGGTGGGGGTGTGTGGCAAAAATATGCATCTCTCCTTCCTGCCAGAGCTGTACTGGCACAGTGGGTGTTTCTCCATTTCAGAAAGAAGGTTACCTCTGGGAAAGTTACCTGTGTTTTACCTGTTGCCCCTGTGCCACCGGTTACTCCATTACATCACTTGTGGCTGTGTAACAGTGACCATCTCTTTTACTTCCCTTTATTCTCCTCCTTGCTTCTCCAGGACACAGATGGGATCAACCTGTACTACTGGTCCCTGTTTGATGGACACGCTGGGTCGGGGGCAGCTGTGGTCGCTTCCAAACTGCTGCAGCACCATATCCTGGAGCAGCTGCAGGAGATCGTGGACATCCTGAGGAACACGGCGGTCCTGCCGCCCACGTGCCTAGGAGAGGAGCCTGACAACCCGGCCACCAACAGCAGGACGCTGACACGGGCAGCCTCCCTGCGTGGTGGTGTGGGGCCCCCAGGCTCACCCAGCACCCCTCCAACACGCTTCTTCACCGAGAAGAAGATCCCACATGAGTGCCTCGTTATTGGGGCCATAGAAAGTGCATTCAAGGAAATGGTATGTATATCTCAGGGCTCTGAAGTTCTTCTTGCATACATTAATGAGTCAGATGGCCTGGAGAAAATGAACATTTAGGGATTTTTTCTTTTTTTTTTTTCTTCCCCTACTTAAACACCATCTGAATGTGGACAGAATTATTTAAGAGCCTCAACAGCTTACCTGGTACATCCCTGTGAGGCAGGAACTGCATATTAAGTCCCAGGCAGCACCACGGCCACGTTTGTGGATTACTTGACTCTTAGAAACTTGGTGCTCTTTCTTCCCACCCCTCCTTTTTTTAAGGTAGAAATTAGTATTGCCTCACAGTAGCAGATTTCAGCATTGGCTGTTATAATAAGGCTGTGTATACAGGCATGCTCTTTACAAAGCCTTGTTGCCCTGCCAGAGCAGCAGGAAAGGCTGTCAGCATTCCTTGCACAGAGACCTTTGATTGTGTTGCCCACAACTACATGAATGGGTCATAAAAGGTCACATCAGGGACATGGATCAAGGATGCTGCCCCTCATCCAATGACCTGTAGTTTATGTTAGTGTTGGAGTGGGTTATAAAGCACAGTAGTGACTGTAGAGAGTGTGTGTGCAGCTCTTGACTGAGGCAGGTTGGGTGTGGGTGAGTGGGGCATGAAGTACGTTTCTACCACCCACTTGGCTTGTGTACACCATGAGCAGCTGGGAGGAAATCATGACCCTGTGGAGACAGAATACCCATCAATTTCCCTATGGAAGGCTGTTTTTTGTCTTTTGTGATTGATGTAGCTGCTCCACACCTTCCCCCTTCACTTCTCCATGTTATTAAAAATAATTCTTGTTAGGCAGAGCAGAGGCTTGGCCTGCCAGTGAGTACATGCGCATCGGCCCTTGGGAGATCTGATCTTGTTCTATTTCTTCTTTTTTAATTTTTTTTGTTGTTTTTAGTAAAGCTGCTTATTTGAGCAGAAGGTTTTTGAACTAATGAGCATTTCCCAGAGGTTTTATTTGTTGTCTGAAAAGCAGTATTCAATCATTGCTTTTCCTGATATATGTGAATTTTATATGCATCTAATTAGAGACTACTATTGTTCTAACAAAGTGGTGCTTCACTTTGACTTCTGAATAGAAATCATCTTGCTGGATTGTCCTTTCTTCCCAAGGAAGTGCAGGCAAACAGACCCACCAACTGGGTTTGGACAGCATCATCTGACTTTTAGTTGGGTAGGTCCAGGAGCGGGATCCACAGCCATGGCTTAGGTATCAGTCAGCATGGGGCGTGCAAGCAGATTTATGCACTGCAGCTTGTGGGCTCAGTTTCTGCTAGCTGAAAAGAGAGATGAGGAAGCGTGAAAATCTGTCGGTTTAGCATGCCCTTTTCAGAACGGCAGGACTAGCTTGCTCCCTTCTTTGTAGAGGAAGAAGGGAAAAGATGACACTGCCGATCCCCTGCACCCAGTTCAGAGCATGCTTAAGGGAGAACACCAATTTCGTGCTTCAGTTGGGGCGATTTTCAGGCCGGAAAAGTGTCAGGCTCTGAGTGCGTGACATGACACTCTCTCTCCTTTGAAACTGGCTCCAAGTGCAGGAGAGACAAGAAATGGAGTTTCATGGTACTGGAAAGTGAAGGTAAGAGCGCTAAAGGGCTGTTTGACGTGCTGTACCTTTCTTACGAGAGCAGCATGTGCATTACCTGTCACTGCCTTCCTGAACACATCTGAGTGAGCAGGGCTGTTACTGTCCTGCTTTATTTTGCGTTCACACCTTTGTTTGGTAGGTGTTCACACAGATGACCATCTCAGCACATGTCCAGGCACCTGACTGCTTGGGAGGGCTTTTATGGATGGAGTATGACATATGCAGAAACCCTGCATAACTCACTACAGATATGAAGTCTGGGTATTCCATGTACAGGTCATAGTAATCTGTCCTCCCTTTTTCTAAACTGAAGTCCAGAGAATTTTTTATTTTCCTCCCCTGTGTCTTTGTTCATATGCTACAGATCAGATACCTTAATTCCCACTTTTGCTTTTTATCAGAGGGTCAGAGGGCTGAAGTTCATTGTCTGTCTTTGATATATAAATAACTCTGTGTCTACCACAATGCAATATAATTTCAGCATTAAGTTTTACATTAAAAGGAAGTCTTAGAAAAACAGATTAAGAAAGGCGATAGATTATCTACGTTAAGCTCTTGGGGGAGCCTTGTGCTTATAACTGGTTTAGACAGTTGTGTAAGGGAGTGGTTCGTAAGATCAACACTCCTGAGTCTCATCTGTGCCTGCAGTGATTGATTGTCCTCCTAGCTATAACTTCCTGCTTACTAATATTCCTAGTAGTCTTTGGGTGAAGGTTTTGGGCCTCTTCCACAGCACATTGTTTATTCAGCGCTATTTTGTACGGGAATGTCATGGATGTTGTTGAGTTAGGTCAGTGCAGTTGAGATGTGCATAATGCACAAGGGTTTGTCCCAGCAGAGCATGTCGTTTTACCTGGCACTTGGTGAAAGCTCGTGTTTCCTGGACACGCAGGCAGACTTCTTGGTGGTGTTTCCTGAAACACCCATCACCTGCAAAGGAGACCTTTGAACCTGGTGAAAATGCTAAGTAGATACAGATACTTTTTTTTGTTTGTTTTTTAAACAGTCCAACCTGACAAGTTTTTCTAAGGATGGTTTCATCCCTGTTTCCTGGGAGCATTTTGCATACTGTTATTTTTACCCCAACTGCCTTTTGAATTCTAGTTAAGCTCTCCCTGTTTTTGCTTCAAGTCTCAAATAAAATGCAATTAATCTGTTTCAAAAGGCTTTTAAAAATCATTTTTCCTTTACTGGGTGTGCTTTCTTTTGGACAGTGCTTGTCTGACAGCTACGTGCAGTAAAACATTGTGGAAAGCTGACACAGACCAAGTCATTGCCTAAATTAGAAATTTAACAATTAAGCTGTCCCCTTTTTGAAGTATTTCTAGATGGTGTTCTCTGATTGTGTTGGAACTGGGATTAGCAAGTTTCTGTGTTGTGTTCTCAGATAATTTACTGTCCTATTTAAAAAATAAAAAATGGTCAATGTCAGCAATTGTCAGTGATCACAGTTATTCCAGTTAAATGGGAATAAATAAGCTCAAGTCCTGAAGGTGTCATAAGTCAAATCCTCTAGTTTTCATCTCTTACATTTTAAGATGTGCATTTATAGATTCAGTTCTAGGAACCAAGAGGGATGTTTCCAAGTGCTCGCCTGTACCAGATAGGAACATCAAATCCTTTCCCTGTATTTAGCGTTGTGGGCATGTGTGTGATGTAGTACGTATTTTAAATAAAGATTAAGAGGAGAGAGTGCTATTCCACACTGAACCCTCTTTAATTTTGGATGGGGAAAAAATGGCACAGAACTAGTCTGTAAGCTGTATTGGAAGGCATATGTTTGTATACATTGTACCATGATTTTTCTTCTTGACTGAGATTTTTTTGATTCAGACAAAATCTAGACAGGTGTTTTTGCAAGACTGGTGCTATTTTAGTTTGAACAATCTTGAGAGCGCAACATATGTTGTATGGTTTTCTTTTTGAAAATACTCCTCTGGTTAAATAACCAGTAGAAATAAGTGAAACAGTGGTACAGGCATTTTGATGTCTTTTTGACAGAGGTAAGGGAGATTAAGGAACTAATTTTTACTTTACTTCTGAAACATGATTTTTTTACTTAAGCAGATAGCCGGTACTGTGTGTGTAGGGAGTAAAGCAAGATTGAGGTCCTGGAGGAGAGGCCCCTACTCTGAGGCCGGATACAGATGCAAAATCGTTCTTTCAGTTGTTGTTGGCAGTATGCTGACTCCTCACGACGACACTGCAGTCCGAACGTACCTAGCCCTCGGGCTGCCAGGGGCGGGTGCCCCGCCGCGCTTCGCCTGCCCAACACGCGTGGGTCAAGGCCAGGCGGAAGGAAAATCCGGGCTGCGGCTCGGCTCGGGCTCGGCTCGGCTCGGC